TTATCCCCCTTAATGCAAGTTGTTAAAAGGAGTAAAATAAAAGAGTTAAAGAATTTCTAGATTCCGTGACTTGCCTAGCTTCTACGAGTGAGCGCCATTACGACTCCCGAGAGTGAAAAATCCGGGTCGTGACATAACTTATTGATACTATCAAGAGTTTTGATAAAGAATATATAGTATAATTTTTATTTTGATCGTAACATTCTAGACATAAATATAAACAAAGAAAAGGCACAACATTTTAAAGAATCCTAAAACCTTCAGCTGTATTTCAACTTGCGACTAATTAACATTGGCAATTAAATAATCTAAATTTAAGGAAAGCCAAACAAAGAAAAACTTAAAGAAGCCAAAACCTAAAAGAAAGCAATACGACAGTAAAGAAACCTAATCCTTAGCAAATAAAAGCCTAAAGAGTTCTAAACCGGGGAAAAAAGAAAATTTGCCTAAAAAAGTATTAATGATTAAAATTACAATTATATCCGGCGTGAAATACATTTACAAATGATAAAAAGGCGAACGACATTTTGATTGGGTCTTTATGCTTTTAATATAGTATAGATATAAATTCTTTTGTATGCTCTAACATTATCCATTAATTTATGCAAACGACAATATGAATTCTGTAGGAGATCAATGCAACAGTAGCTTAGGCTTGTCATTTCAAGTAGCTTCAGCAATTACTTCATAACCATTGTTGTTCTATTTCATATTGTTTCCAAAAGCATTGGTGCTCTATTTCCTCGACGAAAAAAAAATCTTGCTCCGCCTATCTGTTCATGTGATGAATAGAGAGCCCTGCACAATGCTTCTGCAAATCCCGTTGCACCTGCTAGAAAAGTTGTAATTATATAATCTATAATTTATTTATAACTTATCTATAATTTTCATAAATTATATTTATTCAGTTAAAAACAACTACAATATCATACGGTACATCAACATATAAATTATTCACGGTCATTAGTCTCAATAGTTGATCCAATCCAAAGATGTATTATTTAATGTCAAATATAATCTTATTAGTGCCCAGTTAAATATATGGTACATCAACATACAAATTAAAAATTAAATTTAATGCAATTTTAAATATCTGCAACAACATACATAGTAAAAACCAATTTCATACAACTAATTATATATTATACAACTTATCTATATTTATCTATAATTTTTATACATTATTTCTACCCAATTATATACAACTACAATATCATACAATTTTTATACAATATTGTTCAACTTTCATACAATAGTTAAATAAAAAAATATATATATAAACAACACTATACAATTTTTCTATAATTTTACTATAATTGTACTACAATTTCGTAAGTATAATGTATGTCATGTCTTCTTCTTCTTCTTCTTCTTCTTCTTCTTCTTCTTCTTCTTCTTCTTCTTCTTCTTCTTCTTCTTCTTCTTCTTCTTCTTCTTCTTCTTCTTCTTCTTCTTCTTCTTCAAGTTTCAATCTGAAATTCAGCCAAAATGAAGTCTAGTCTTCACCAAAACACCCTTAAAATTGAGATATAAACTCCAAACTATATTTTCAATTGTTTGCAACAACACCCAATCCAAACAAATAATGATTTTTGAAAACCCAAATTCGAATTCAAAGCTTCAAAGCTTTTTAATGGCTATCAATGGTGGAATTGCTGCTCTCTTTTCCTTTGCTTTACATTTCTGAAATTAGGAATTGAGAGATAGAGAGAGACATAGAGCGAATTCCCAATTGTTTGCAACAATACCTAATTCAAATAAATAATATTTTTTGAAAATCCAAATTCGAATTCAAAGCTTTCAAAACTTTTTAATGGCTGTCAATGGTGGAATTGCTGCTCTCTTTTCCTTTGCTCTATATTACTAGAATTAGGGATTGAGAGATAGAGAGAGACGTAGAGAGAGAGCGCAAGACAGAGAGAGAGCATGAGGGAGAGAAAATAAGGATGAGAAATAATTGATTCCTAATATGAAGGGATACTCATTTAATTACTAAAGTGTATATAATGGGTAAATTTGTATATAAGATGTAATTAAATTACAACTTGAGTAGGGAGGGTAAGGCTAGCAAACGAGCCGGGCCCGGGCCTAAATGGGCCTCGTGGGCCGGTCTTAATTAAGTGGGCCCGGGCTTAAACAGTCCTGGGCTTCGTGGGCTTTTGGAGGTAACCGGACCGGGACCATGAACTAATGGTCCCGGTCTAAGTGGGCCGGTCCCGGGCCTATGTGGGCCTGGCCTATTTTTTTAAAATATTTTTTAATCTAAGGCAGTTTCTTGTAAATTATATTATATAGTTGTGACTTAAAATTTTTTAATTCAAATTTAAAAGACAAAATATTGTAAAAAGATATTCAAAGGAATGCATTATAATTTTTATTATTATGACATTAACAAAACATG